AGTGTTCGCAAACAAGAAAAAAGTGGATTCAGCGCGTGCTGGCGTGTGCGCGCGCCTGGCGAGGCAGTAAAATACGCAGACGGCGCCCCCTAGGAGATTGCCTTCGATCGGAGCCTGGCCGGTCGAAGTCCTGGGGGGAACTAAAAACCAGGTGGGAAGGGAAGGGGACAACCCGAGAACCCCAAACAGCCAGGGAGAGGACCCAAGAACCTCAGGGAAGGGGACAACCCGAGAACCCCAAACAGCCAGGGGAGAGGACCCAAGAACCTCAAGGGAAGGGGACAACCCAAAGACCCCAAGATCCAGGAAGGACACAGAGAGGACCCAAGAACCTCCCGGCTTGGCAATCCCTATTCCAGGAGGAAACCCTTTTTCAGGACACCCTGTAGGCTGGGAAACCCTGTAGGCTAGGCCGCCCGAACTAAAAACCAGGTCCTGCCAAGGGTTCTTAAAGGGCTCCGCCCTCTTTCGCCAACCTGCCCTATACAGGGAGCAAACCCGCGCTTTTTGCGCCCGCTTGTCGTCTTTGAGACCATGACGGGGGGTTCCTCTGGAACTCCCTCGTCCGCTGGTCAAGGGGACGACCTGCGGCGAGACATCCCTGAAGACGCGCGATGGGACCCAGGTCCTCTGGGTATCTCATCTGCGGTCTGAGGGGGTGCCTCTGCGCGCGCTGCGCGCGCGTTCTTGACGTTGTGACAGGGGAGGCGAGCGCACGGATGCCCTCCCTCAGGACACGACCGAGAGGACGCGCGCGCGAGCGCGCGAGCCGTCGACGTCCTTGAGGGCGCGGCGGGGGACTCTTCGGGGTCTTCCGCGCGTTGTTCAAGGGGGCGTCGGCGACCGGCGCACGCAGCCGCGTGCGCGCGCGTTCTTGACGTCTTGACTGGGGGGCGAGCTCGTCGGGCCCCCCCAACTCAGGACCGAGGGAACGTCGCGTGCAAGCGCGCTCCTGACGTCACGACCGGGGGGAGAGCATCCCCGTGGCCCTCTCGATTCGTGACCGAGGGAGCGGCGACGCGCGCGTGATCTTGACGTCGTGACTGGGATCTACGACCGAGGGATCGCCGCGCGCTCCGCGCGAGCTGCGTCGTCGGCGCGCGGCGCGGGCCAAGTCGATTGCGCGTCGACTCGACGGACCTTCTCTCCTTCCTTAACGCCCGCCCTGGCGGGCCGAGGGGATAGAGACTGGGTTGCGGTCGAAGACGCGCGCGATCGGCGCAAAGACCCACCCGGAACCCGAACACGCGGCGCCTCGTCGCGCGGCCCTGCTTCCGTGAAGGAAAGCGCGCTTCGATGAGGTGTCTCCGCGCTCGGTTCGGGCGCGGCCGGGAAGGGGTGCTCCGGGGGAACTAAAAACCGTCGCCTGGGCAGGCGGCCCGCAGGCGTAAGTCTCCGTTGCGCGGCGGGGACGGCCCTGAGACGGGGTGGCGGTCGGCTCGCCCACCCCTGCATGAGGGACGCCGCAACGCGGGTACGTGAGTCCAGGCCCCCGGCGGCGCACGATCGCTCGAAGTTCACCGTCTTAAAGTGTGAACTTCGGGCATGAAGTGCCAGAACTCCGGGAGGCCCAGGTGCAGAAGCACCAACGTGCCGGGGGGGCGTGAAGCGCTGGATCTCCGGTCCAGCCGCCGCGGCAATCTCCCCCAAGCCGGTGGCGTCGAAGTGGTCTCGCGCATAGGTCGCAATCTGGGCACCTCTGGCCACCGAGGCCGCCAGCATGGAAAGCCACCTCCCCGGCCGGTTCGCGCCTAAGTTGCCGCGCGCTGACATTCCCTCGAGGGTGATCATGTCCGAGTCCTTGCGCGCCCCACCCTTGTGGACAAACACAGAGCTGTCCTCCGCAGGATATGGGCGAAGCACTTCGACATGATAGGTGGCGTCCATCTTCACCGCGAAGGTTCCGGCGCCCGGGGCGCCAAGTCCCTTGCCCTTGGGCCCAGCGCCCTTTCCCCAAGGAGTCTGCCACTGGCCCTGTCGTCGTGCGCCGCCGCGGCCCATTGCTGCGAAAGAGCTTGAAGGATGCGTTCGCGTTCGAGTTAGTTCGCTGAGCGCTGCGGGGAAACAACTGCTTGGCGGCTTCCCTGCGCGGTGACTTGGGGCCTTGCTCAAAACAAGTGGCGCAAGACTACGACTCGAGCTGGCCTGGAAGGCGCCGTCGGCGGCCCTGCGGCGAAGGGCTTGGCCGAGAGAGCGTCCTGGCAGAGGTGGCCGGACAGCCGAAGCCCCCGGAAAAAGGGGCGCTCAAGGTTGGCAAAAAACCGACGGAATTTCATTTCAGGCGAGGTCCTGGGAGTTCTTTTTTCGCGGGACGGAAAGTGTCTTGACACAGGCGAAGCCCCCGCAAAAAAAGGCGTTCGAGGTCAGCAAAGAAATTGCTTTTCAGGCGAGGCCCGGAAATTCTTTGCCGCGCTCGAGGCGCGGGGGTTTTTAGTTTGGCCCCGCCGGCCTGGGTGAGGCAGTCGCCGCGGCGCAGCGCCTTCGTGCCCGCGAGGAAGTTCGCCGCGCGCCGCCAAAGCGGTCGCTTCCGGTCGCCGGCTGTGAAGACCGGCGCGCTGCTTTCCTGCTTGGGAGGCCCGAAGCGCGAGGGAATCGGCCTGACTTACATCTGGAGCTCGCAGCCCCTTTGGCTTACATTTTTCTGAATTGGCTGGCAACACAATTTTTCGGGCAAGGCCCTGAAGGTTCTTTTTCGAGCTCGAGGCTCAAGGATTTTTGGATGGGCCCCACCCGCCTGGATGAGGCGGTCGCTGCGGCGGCGCCTTCGCACCCGCAGCAAAGTTCGCCGCGCGCCGCCCGAGCGGCCGGCGTCGGTCGTCGGCTAAAAAGACCGCCGTTGCTCTCCTGACAAGGCGACCCGGAGAGCCAGGGACAAGGCGACCCGGAGAGCCAGGGGATCGGCTCCATTTGTCTTCGAAACTTGCGGCTACTTCTTATTTTTTTCTAGAGGGCTCTTCCCGCCTCGTCTCCGAGGGCTTTCGGTCCGCGACCGCGGAGACTGGCGTGACTTCCTCCTGACGGGGCCGACCGAAGCGCGGGGCGATCGGCTCGACTCGCGCCCTAAAACTTGCTGCCCTTCGGCTGGATCTCTTTTTTTTTGTGGAGGGCGCTGACCCCTGATTGAAGCCGCCCAGACTTCTTCCCGCCTTGCCTCCAGCGGGCGCCGGACAGGGCCCCGACAGGCTTCCGAACAGGCCTCCGGGCGCGTGTCCTGGGAGCGATTGACGGACAAAGAAAGTTGAGCGGGGCTAGTCGTCAATCAGTTGGGGGGCGACCGTTCGTGTCTTAAGCTGTGGGTTAACTTTTAACTTGCGTCGGCATGCCCCGTCGTTTCCAAGTTCGGAGGTGTCTTGGGCAACCTGCGTCGGCTTGCCCCGTCGTTTCCAAGTTCGGAGGCCGAGAATGCGCTTGTCGCGATTTGACCTCGGCCAACTTTCAACTGCTGCGATTTGCCAGGAATCATTTCTGATTTCCTCAAAGGCCAAAACTGTGTCGAAAGTTGGGCTAACATGACATGTCCCCGCGCATTTGAAACTAGATGTTCTATCTGACCGCACCTTGTTCGGCCCTATAGGCGAAGCCGTCTTGCCAAAATTTCCAAAAATGTCGAAAACACGTGACAGCGCTAGTGTTTTCTTGGGGGGCCCGCCTAGGGCGTGCTATAGCTCTTGCGGGAATAGCCCGAATTGGCCTAGGCAAGCCTCTAACATCTGCGCAAAGCGCATTTTTTGCGACTTCTTCCGTTCTCAGTTGGCTTGAAAACAAGGGCTTTTTCTTCACTTCGCCGTGTTCTCGCGATGAATGTTTTGGGTCCCCCGCCAGGGCCAAAAAATCAAGTTTGGGGCTCCGAAAAGTTGCCCAGCGGTTCTCGAGCTTTCGATTTGGGGCCGATCGCTTGCCCTGTCAAAAACAGTGAACAGTCCTAGCGTTTCCCTGCCCTTTGGCCCCCGCCGTCGCTGCCCTTTCGTCCGAAAACTCTGTTTTTTGACCAGAAAACGGGGCTCCCATAGGGGTCCGTGCCTTTTGAGGGCTTTCCGCAAACCTGGCTGCGAAACGCTAGGCTCTGGCATCGAAAATCTAGCAAAAAAAAGGCTGCTATTGGCTGGCAACAAGCACATTGAGCGCGTGTTTTCCCCGGGAGGCAATCTAAAAAAATCGTTCCCCGGGGTCTTCCGAAAAAATCCTAAACCCTAAACTTTTGGTAGAAAAAATCGAAAACGCGAATTTTCGATGCCGAAACCTAGCGTTTTGCTAGCAAAAAACTGCACGACGACCAAAACCGCCCGCCCGTAGTGGCTGAGCCAGGCCTGAGGCCAGAACTCAGAAAAAAAATTCGCGAGAGTCCAGTTTAAGGGCATGCGGCCCTTCCTTCGCGCCCGCGCTCAATCGCGCGGAGAACGCGCCGCAGTCCATCCCCGTGACGGACCGCGACGACGTCCAACGGCGACGGCGTTGGAGCGATCCCCGCCGGGAGCGCCCCTCGTCCGCCGCCTCCGCGCGAAAGAGGCACGGGCCCCTCGCGGGTCGGTGGGGGGAACCCCTTCTGACGCGGCTCGCCCCCCCAACCGAGCGTCCTCCATCCAGAACTCGGAACGAGTTGAGCGATCCGAGTTCCGAACTTCTTCGGAACCGCCATCCCCGCAAGGGCGTGGGTTTTTCACCGTGTTCTGGCCGCCGCCCGCCCGGAGCGCCGACCTGCCCGCGATCCGCCTGAGAAACTCCCGAGGAACACACTCGAGAGCTGCGGGGGCGCCACGCCGCGTTCGGACGACGGCTCAGCCGACTACTGGCCCACGGCGAAGGCCGACGCCGCCAAAGCGACGCCGGTCAGGCCTCATGCCCTCCTCCCGGACTCTCGGGGGAGTATGAGTTTAGCCTCGACCTTGACAAAGGTCGAGGTGCGTGAGGGCTGAGAAGCCTCAGACCACGGTCCATTACCATCGCCGCCGCACGCGCGCGCGACCACGCGCGATCGGATTCCTCCAGTCTCGATCCTGGAGGATACGTCGAAAGGAAGGTCCGTCGCACGAGGCGCGCCGCGGCGGCAGCGAATAGCCGCCGACGTCCTGTTGAAGGACGGCAGCGGCGCGAGGGACACGGTCAAGAGGCTTCAGGGGCGGAGGTCTCCCGTCGTGGACGCGACTCCCGACGAAGATCCCTCTTCCCCCGTGCTTGCGAAATCCTGGATGCCACGAAGAAATGCGAGCCCGCGGCCGCGGAAGTGGAGACGTCGGTGCAGACTCTGCTCTCCTACTGCGCCGACGAGGGCCTTACGGCCCACTTTCAGCGCTCGGCGGTGCTGGCGGCGAACATCTACAACTTCAGCATGAATGCGCTGGAGGCGCGCGGAATCAAAGAAACAAGAAAGGGCCGGGTTCTCGACTGCCCCCTAGACCGCTCGAAACTTTCGGCCGGCCAGGCCGCCGCGGTGCTGGCTCACCGCGGACAATGGACTACGGAGCTAGCCAAAAACCTGGGCGCGCTGCCAGCGCCAGTGCGGGATTTCCTCCAGAATCCGGCCAACGACGAAGCCCTTCTGCGGGCTCTGACTGCGGCCTACAATCACCAAGTGCTGGATTCGCAGCGCCCGGTCGCCGCCGCGGGAGGGGACCCGCTTGGCAACTACGGCAACTACGCCGCCCCGCCCTTCGCCGAGCCGGCGCCGCCCGCGGCCGCCGCGGCTGCTCCGGCCGAAGACCCGCTCGGCGCAAGCCAGGCGCCTGCTGCGGGGCCGACGCTGTTTGGGCGCAAGCGCCCGGCGCCGGCCGAGGCTTCCGCGGAGCCGGCTCCGAAAAGGTCCTTATTCGGCGCAAAGCCGGCCCCAAAGCCTGCGGCGAAGGCCCCCGCGGCCGCTCCGAACAAGCCGGCCGAGCAGCCATCCGTCGGGGCGTGGCCAACCCCCGCTTTCCTCCGCTGGCTCCAGAGCACCTCTGACCTCACCGCGACAGTGGAGACCCCGGAGACGCTGCGGCAGGCCATCGAGGCCGTGCCAAACTCTTTGCGGAAGCAGTACGACCTGGCGGAGGCGAGCGAGTCCTGCGCGGCGAGCCTCCGCGCGCTTCGGGAGGAGTACATCGGAACCTTGCTCGAGGAAGCGGAAATGTTCTGCACCCCGAAGCACAAGGTGGCGCTGGAAGAAGACTTCATAGGCCACGGCGTGCTCACTTTGTGCTACGCGCACAAAGCCTTTGCGGAAGAGAGCAAAGCCGAGGAGGTCGCGGAGCTGATCCAGCAGCTGAAGGGCGACCACGTGCCGGTGGAAGCAGAGAACCAGCTCGATGAGGCCCAAGAAAGCCTTCTGCGCGACTTGGTCGACGCAGAAACAGCTGCGAAGTTCCACCTTGCCGCCGTGAACTTTTTTGCCGCCCACCGCAACGGCCCCGAGCCGAAGGCGGCCGCAATTTTTGGGCTTCTCTCCGCGGCGCCGGCGGACCTTTTGGAGTGGGCCGGGGTCAGCCCGGCGCGGAAGTACCGCTCCATCCGCGCCAAAACCTGGCCTCGAGATGTGGGCCGGGCTGGGACGCTGGCGTACTTGGCGTTCGCGGCACACCTGAAAATCTTGCAGGACGACCGCGGCGAGGAGGCATCCGCCGTCGCTCCGGAGCACGGCGACGAAGGCGAGGCCCAGGAGGACGCCAGCTGAGCGGCCGCTGAGAGGTAGGATCCGATCGCTTCGCCCAATCCCTGGACAGTGGGCAAGGCGACTTTTCAAATCCGACTGCCCGCGGCCGGGCGGCGCCTTACAGGCCGCCCGCCGCGCGGCGGCGCAAAAGCCAAACAGCGCGCCAAGTGGAATTTGCCCAGCGCTCAGCCAAGCTTTGCGTCCAGCGTGCAGCTCCGCCCCAAAAGATTGGCTCTGTTTCCTTGTGGCTCACAGTTTGCTTCGCGCGCTTTGCCCGCTTTGAAGACGGCATGGCTCGCCAAGAAAAACCGCCGCAGGCGCGAAGTTTTACATTACTTTTTTTGCGCAACACCCATCTCTTCCCTGCCAGGCCAGAGGAGAGAAGCGAGGGCGGCCTCAACCTGAGCCAGCAGAGCCTGTCCTGAAGCCGCCGCCCGCAAGTACTGCCAGGGCTTTGACAACATCCAGTGCGCTTTTGGCCCTGGAGGGGAGTGCGCGCAGCCTGCACAGTGTCTTTTCTGCAGCCCGCAGCGCCTGGAGGAAGCCTTGGGCGACCCCGCCCGCGCGGTCGCGGCGCGCTGGCCGAGGGGGCCGCAGCCCTGGCGCCCACCGCGGGCGAGGTTGCTGGAACGCTGGCTGGTGCGGCGGGAGTTGGCGCGGCGGCAACGGCGGGGCTGGCCGTTGGCATTGCGGGCGGCGCAGCCTACGGCCTGGCCCGCGGCACGGGATGGGTCCGGCCCCAGCAGGGCAGCGAGGACGCGGCCGTGCAGGACGTCCGGTCCGCCAACAACATGAATGACGCCACGCAGCCCCAGCACTTCACGCTGCGCTCAGGCAGCAGCACTTCAGGCAGCCCCGCAAGCAGCCGCGCCTCCTCGCAGTCCGGCTTCCGAGTTCAGGCGCAGTCCAACAACACGCCGCGCCCCTTCTCCTGGGGCCTGAACCCCGTGGCCCTGCCCCAGTCCCAGCCAAGCTCGCGGGCGAGCTCCAGTTCCGGACGCCGGAGCCTGCCTCCGCCCAGCTTTGACCAGCTGGCGCGAGACATTGAGGCTGCTTAAAAAATGCACGGTTTTGCGCTGAAAAAATGCTATTAGTCTAGTGCCTACGTAAATGTAGGCACCGGACTAATAACATTTTTGCACGGTTTTGCGCCACAAAACGCTATTCTTCCAGTGCCTACATCAATGTAGGCACTAGAAGAATAGTTTTTCCTTCGCCGTACGAGTCAAAATGCGTGTATATAAACAAGCATGGAGGTAGTCACCGCCGGAGCCCAGGATGAGCTGATGCAGAGCCTGGACTACAACTGAACTGAAAACAAGCAACACCAGCTACGTGACGGCGCGGCATGACGTGCAGTACTTCCCCAGCTCGCTGAGCTCCTTCTCCCCCACAACCTCTAGGGTCTGCCGCATCCCGCTGACCAGCGGCACGTCCTTCATCGACCCCGAGTCCATCAAGATCGCCTTCCGCGTCAGGAACACGGACGGCACCAACCCGCTGGCCCCGGCCACGCCCAACCCCGCCTGCTTCGTCCAGCGCGTCCAGGTCTTCGCCAACGGCCAGCGCTGCGACGACATCAACTACTACGGGCGCACCGTGGCCGTGCACGACCTGCTGAAGGGCAGAGAGTACAACCGCAACAAGGCCATGGAGGGTTTCGACGAAGTGAACGACCCGCGCATCGCCCGCGCGGTGCACCAGGGCGGCTACGCGGACGTGCTGCTGCGCCCCACCATGGTGGGCATCCTGCGCTGCGGGAAGATGCTGCCGCCGCAGCTGAACCTGGTGATAGAAATTGAGTTTGCGGACGCCACCACTGCGCTGTGGTCCGAGAACGCCGGGGCGCACCCGGCGGGGGCCACGCTGAGCACCGACTTCGAGATCCAGAACGTCCGAGTTCTGGCCTCCCAGGTCGTCCTGGACTCTGCGCTGGTGGAGTCCTTCAACCGCGTGCTCCTCTCAGGAAGGTCCCTGGTGTTCAGCTACCCCACGGTGCACACGCAGCAGTCCAGCGTCCCGAACGGCGTGGCGGAGCACAACGTCACCGTGGCGCGCGCCTTCACGAAACTCATGGGCGCGTTCGTGACCTTTTGGGACAACGACGCGGGCTCCAAGATCCACTTGCTGGCCAACCCGGGGCAGGACGTGGCCCCCATCGGGGCAGGAGGACAGCCTCCTGGAGTCTCAGATGCAGCTGGGCAGCCTGCAGTACCCTCACAACCCCATGAAGGGAGCCTCGGAGCACTTCCACTTCCTCTCCGTCCTCGCGGGCACCTACGACGACACGGTGCGCAACATCGACATCGGCCGCGTGGGCTACCTGCGCCACAGCTTCATTGCCGGCTTTCCCACCGAGCGCGTGCCCAAGATGCCGCTGAGTGGCGTCAGCACCCGCTCGGGCGACCTTGCCCGGTTCACCTTCAAGGGCCTGGACGGCACGATGACGGACCTGTTCATTCATTTGGTGGCCTACTAGCTGGTGACGCTCTCCGGCACGGGCGTCTCTGTGCTTGACTAAGGCCCGGTGTCGCTCTGCGCCATTTTTGGCGTTTAGTGACACCGCTTTTGAATGCGCCCAAAAACGAGAAAAGAGGCCCGGTGCCCCTCTTCACCATTTTTGGTGTTTAGTGGCACCGCTTTTGAATGCGCCCCAAAAACGAGAAAAAAGGCGGGGGTGCCCCTCTTCACCATTTTTGGTGTTTAGTGGCACCGCTTTGAGTGCGCCCAAAAAACGAGAAAAAAAAGGCGGGGGTGCCACGTTTCATCATTTTTGATGAAACGTGGCACCGCCCAAAAAACCAGTAAAAACATGGAAAAAAAGGACTGTTCCAGGCCCCTCGGATTAGCCCGAACGGTCTAATCCGGAATGCTCAGCCGCTCCGCAAGCTCCTCCGTGGCCGCGCGCGCAATCTCCTCGCACAGCGCAGCAGGGACGCTGTAGAGCAGCTCGCGTGATTGGCTGACCCTCTCGTACTGCCCCTCCATCAGCCGCGGCCCCCGCTGCGCGGCCCGGAGGTGCCTGCCGTCCTGCCACGCCTCGCAGCGGCTGCCGGGCTTGCACAGGCCTCGCCTCGGCCTCCAGCGCATGTTGGTCCACAGCCGCGTCTGCTTCCTGTACGGAGTTCCGTACTTGCAGTAGGTCACGTCCACCCAGGGCAGAGGCTCCATGAACGGCCGGGTCTTCAGCAGCCCGGTGGCCGGGTTCTCTATGACCCACATCAAGGGGTCAAAGTGCGCAATGATCTCAAGGGCGCTGAGCACCAGCGCGTCGCCCTCCAGGAGCCGCCGCGGGCGCGTCGTCAGCGCGCGGCTGTATTCCGTGCAGACCGGGCTGGCCCAAACCATGGAGCCTGGCTACCGGAACTGGCTGGCCGCAGTTGCCGCCCAACCTCAGGCAGAAGTGGAGGAGGCCGTCGCCGGCAAGTACAAGTACTGTCAGGGGTACAATGGCATCCAATGCTCCTTTGGCGCTGAGGGTAGGCCCGCGCAGCCCCACGGCCCGGCGCGTTGCCTGTTCTGCAACCCGGAGCACCTGCAAGAAGCTCTAAATGCTCCCCTCCGCGCGGCCGCGGCGCGCAGACGCTTTGCACAGCTCAGCCCAGAAGCGCAAGAAGCAGTGCTGGGGCGCGTTGTGCGGCCGGAGCACCGTGACCAACTGGCTGCAGCCCAGCCCCTGCTCGAAGCAGAAGAACCGGCGCCCAGAGCCTATCGCCGGCAAGACCAGTCCTGGCGCGGAGCAGCGCCCTACACCCCGGAGGACCTTGCAGCGCGTTACAGCGCGGGCGCCGCGGCGTGGGAAGAAGTGTTGCGGCAAAGGCAGGCTGTCGCAGAGCCCGAGGTCGCCGCGGTGGAGTACCGGGTCAAGGTTGTCGATGATCGCCGCAAGAGCTTGAACATGATGCAGCAAGCAGAGCCGCGACTGCCGCGCGGCGCGGAAGTCTCGAACGAGGATATTGTGGCCAAGGCGGCTGCCACGCGCCTGGCGGCCAACTTGCAACTCTGGGCGGAGTTCAACTCCTGGCAGGTCTGTGACTCATGCGGCGCTCTGCAGCCCAGGGACCTTTCGCCGGCTGGCCTTCGCGGCCTCCTCCGCCCGCACTGCGACGCCAGGCATTGCATCTTTTGCCGCAGCGCGCGTCCCGCGCCTCGGCCCCAGCCGCCGCCGGATGCCTTGCGGAGTCTCTCGCTGGATGTGCGACAAGCGCTGCAGCCGGCAGAGCCGGACTTCGGGCCTGTTGTCCGCTCTCGGGACCAATTTGGGCGAGGCGACGGCTACAGGCAGCACGCGCCTACGCGGATTTCTACTGGGAGCACGAGAGCTTTTTGGCCAACAACGCGGGGTGCGACGCTCGGGCGCGGCGCCGCTGGCTGCGCTTCATGGAGAAAGAGGGGCTGGAGTGCGCCCTGTGGCCAGATCTGTTCCTGGAGCGGCAGCACTGCTTGACCTGGGCTCGGCTGCAGAGCAGCAGCCGGCAAGCCCGCGGCAGCGAGCGCAGCACCTTGGAGGAGCGCTTGAACTTTGACCCGTTGGGCGAAGCAAGCCCGCCGGAAGAGGCAACCGGCCCAAAGCGCTCGTACATGGCCCTGGTGTTGTCGCCTATCTTGGATTTCAGCCTCTCCTACGAACTCCTGCACTTTGCCTTTGACCTTGGCTTGTGGACAGACCTCGGAGCCAAACGCAACCTCAACCTGGGGACACCGCTCCGGTTGCTACTCAAAGGCCACAGCTTCTCCTCGGAGTACTGGCGCGACATGCACCGCGCGCTGGTGGACCTTACGCGGCAGAAGGGCTACCCGCCTATCTTCGCGACGCACAGCCCGCTGGAGTGGTCATGGCCCAACCATTGCCACATTCTGGACGCCATGCGCAAAGGTCGGCGAGGCAGGGCGGTCCAGAAAGGGCGACCGAAACTCATCTTTTCGAACAGCTGAAAAGTCCGCCCGTCTCCAGCACGAAGTCTATGAGGCGCTCCACCAGGCCCACTTGCTGACCCAGATCGGCAAGAATTTTGTTGTTGGTGGAGAAGGGCGAGAGCGGCGAGGGCATGAAGAAGAGCTGCAGCTCCTTCAGCGACAGAGGCATGACGGCTCCGACGCCTCCGTGGTTTCTTTTCTGCGACTGGAGTTCCAAGACGGCAAGCGCCGCAACGCCAGTCAAGACTATCATGGCTCGGGGCGGGCCCACGCCCACCAGCTTGTCTACGTGGGCTCCGAGCGCCGTGACGAGGACATGGAGGCGCTGCGCCTGGAGCGCTGTGTCCAGGCAACACTGGAAGTGGAGCCGGCCTCTTTGCGCGGCTTCGTCGTGGCCTCGCAGCTCGACGGCAACGGCAAGACTCCATTCCCAGTCCACGAGGGGGCAAGAGTTAGACCAGACCTTGCCCGTCTTTTTTCTATAAAAAAACCTAGGGTCCTCCCCACACTTTTAGCAACATTTTAAAACAGCACCTCAAACAGCACATTTTCAAAAATCAACATTTTAAAGCAGGTAATTTCCTAGTAAGTTCATCCATATTTTAAAAAATAAATTTTAAAACATAAATTTTAAAAAATAAATTTTAAAAAAATAAATTTTACAAAAAATTAAAAAATAAATTTTACAAAAAATTAAAAAATAAATTTTACAAAAAATTAAAAATAAATTTTAAAAAATAAATTTTAAAAAATAAATTTTACAAAAAAAAATAAAAAAATCAAAAAATATTATTCCAAAACTTATGATAAATTATTATACAATAAATTTTATCACAAATTTTGTAGACATATTATGGGCAAGGTCTGGTTCATTCGTTTTTAAGGTATTAAAGGTTTGATTTTATGTAGTTCAAATGGTTTGTTCTGTTCAGTTGTTTGTTCTGTTTGTTCTGGGTTCTGTTGTTGTTTTAGGTTGTTCTGATGCGTTAAGGATTGTTCGTGTTGTGTTTTCTTATAAAGTTTGACATCATAACCGCATAATGGACAATGATGTATTTTTTGGTTATATTCCTTGTGATATTCTTGTAATTTATCCTTATTCTGGTTGCGATACTCCTTCTTTTTTGCATTGAGGTTGTCTTTGTTGGTTTCATAATATTCTTTCCATTTGATTTTGTCAGTTTCCTTATTTGCTTCGTGTCGTAATTTTCTTTGTTGATTTAGTTGTTCTTGGTGTTTCTTATGATATGCTCTCATATATTCGCGGCAATTATCACACGTTTTATATTAACCTGTGTCAATTGCATTTTTGCATTTCAAGCATTTTACAACGTTTTCCATATAGTTTATTAACATAATATTACTTTAAGTATATACCACGCTCAACAATGCTAAATTAAAATTGCCGTTAGGATTTCTAATGTCAACTCACTTGGTATTTTATATAAGTCGTCCTGCTTGTGCGTGATGTAGTAGTCGCCCCAGTCCGCCTTCTTTCCGCTTGGTAGTCGCTGCGCCGTCTCCACATGCTTGCCGTTCCTACACTTCCAGTTCCACTAAATAATTCTAATAAATTCATATTATTAGAACTATTTGTATTTTAATTTTCAACAATTACATATTTACCATCATCGCCCTTAAATAGTTTATAATATTCTAATGTTTGTTCTTTTGGACTTTTGATTTGTCCCTTATTTAACATATCGCAATATTTTTTACGCTTCGTGTCATAATCACCGCTGGGTCTGCCTATCCCTTTCTTTTCAAAGATCTTATCAATCTTTTCCTTCTCTTCATTGTTATTTTTTGGTTCGTTTGCCTTTGCATCAAGTTTCTGGTCAATAGTTTTTATCATCTCGTACAACAGTTTAACATTTTTACTAACTGTCATTATCTTCTTTGATAGTTCAACAATAACATCATTTTCAACTTCAGACATTTCTATATATATTTATTTATATAATTATTTATTTAAATATGTATTTATTTATAAAATTGATTTAATGTAAAATCTACTCTTTAAATACTAAATTTTCATTATTTGTTTAATAGTTTCCGGAGTTTCTTTATCACCATTTTCCGAGTGTGTAGCCTCATTTCCAAATTTGATAGAAATATTATGCACATCTGTTTCTAGATTGATAGCGTCCTTTGTTTTATCAATATTCATTTTTTATCTGTTTTACTTATTTTAAAACCAACTGGTATACAACTGCATTTACAGTTACCCTTATTTTTTATTTCTAATTCATTCTTCGTTTGTAATATCTTTTTACACATAGGACACTCAAACTCAATAACTGATGTTTCTTTAACAATTTCTTCTTCTTTTTCTTCATCTGTTGAAGAAACTGTAGTATCTGTTTTATTCTTTTTGTTTTTCTTTTTTCCCATATATATAATTCTTTACATTTTTATTTTTGATATATTGTATTCCTAATTTTATTAATTCTAATGTATAATAACAGCATTTCTTAATTTTATTGTCAGTTATTATTACTTGTTCTATATTCTCTACTTCATCTATTATATCAATATAATCTGAATAACTTCTATCCATATTAAATAATAAGATAAATTATTTTTTCATTTCTGTGTTTCTTTTCCTTGTACAACTTGATGGAACTTGATAAGTTCTTTCAAGTTCTAGAACTCTAGGAAAATGGTTCTTTTTCCTAGAGTTGTACAGTTTTTTCATTGTATCGTCGTTATTCCATCTATATTCCACAAATTTATGATGATGTTTTGAATTTAGATGTTTAAATAAATATTTGTCATCATAAGTTTTACCACAACTGCAATGGATAATAGTCATATAAATAATAAGATGAAATAATTATTAAAAATAATTATTTGATCTTATTATTTTCATGCATAATAGAATATTGGTGGGGCACAGCACTTGGGTTTTCATTGCACACGCGAGCAAGACACAAAACTAATTATCTTCAATGCTTATTGATTGAAGCAATGGAAAACCTGTTCCATTATGTTATTCACCGCCACTCATAACATAATGATGTTCCATTTAATATTAATTACAAGTTAATTTTTAAATATAATTTTCTATATTTCTTTAATATCAACTATGACAGATGTCCCAATAATAAAACCAATAAACATAACTGAATATGAATTCAAACAATCCAAATATGAGCACGTGCCAAAATTACCATTTAGAAGTATTATAGTTGCGAGTTCGACGGGAGGAAAAACAGTTTTAGTTCAGAATCTTATTTTAAATGTTTATAGAAATTCATTTGCAAGAATATTTATATTTTCCCCCAGCGTTCATAATGACCCAACTTTTACAGAAGTTACAAAATACATCAGGGATGAATTGCACGTAGATGATGAAAAAGAACAAATATATTTTGATAATGATAATCCAAGTGATTTAGAATGTGTAATTGAAAGACAGAAGAAAATAATTAATTATATGAAATCTAAAAAGATAAAGAAACTGCATTCAATATTAATCGTTATAGATGACCACGCAGACGATCCTAAATTTGTTAGATATAGTAAATTATTACATGGATTATTTACAAGAGGTAGGCACGATGCAGTAAGTGTAATTTGTTCAACACAAAAATATAATGTTTTAGCGCCTATCATTCGTTTAAATGCCAGTTCATTATATATTTTTAGGTTGAAAAATGCAAGTGAGTTAATGAGTTTTATTGAAGAAAATAGCGCCATTGTTGATAAACAGCAATTATTAGATATGTATCATCAAGCCGTTAATGACGCACCTTATAGTTTCTTCTACGTGAATATGAATGCTAAGGACATTAACAAAATGTTTCATATCAGATTTGAACAGGCGTTTCAAATTACGAATGATGAATAAAGATATTCTAACTTAATATAATATAATAATATGTCAATGAAACTATGTAGATGTGGTGGATTTTATCGTAGAGGTAATTATAATTTTCATACTAATTCTTGGATACATAAACTTTATAAAGTATTGAAAAGAAGGGCAACAGACGAGGAATTATTAAGATTTCAAAATAATTTTGTTGATGAAGAAGACTTAATAGATGATATATGTAGCAATGCATCAACGAAATTACCCGATAGTGAAATGACAGATTATGATAGTAATCAATAATATTAATTTGTTTTAATATTATTAATTTAAAATAATGAATAATTACATAATTGAACAGGTAATTTATATATTAATTTGTCAGATTGTTCTTTCTCTAGTTTCTCAATTCGTGCCACACATTCTTGAAGAGATTTAATAATTAAAGTGTCTGCTCGTATTTTTTCATCTATACTTAAATTCTTAATGTCTTCCAAACTATTATTTTCATTATTTTTACTTTGACCAATACCCATTATATATAATATTATTTAGATTTTAATTTTTCAAAATTGAAATGTTGGTTTTCTTCTTCTTCTTCGTCTTCAGTTGGTGCTGGTATTTCTGTTGGACTTTCAGATGAAGAACTATGGACAGTAACAGGTGGAGAACTATGAACACTAATAATTTCATTAGAAGAACTACTGCTAGCTTGTGCATTTCCTGCTGTTATTTGATTGACTAAATCTGCGATATTTATAGTTGTTGCAATTGCGCTGTGCGATAAGTTTAATATGATATCTGCTACTGTAGCGCCGTTGTGTAGCATTATTTCTATCATTTTTGTCAGTTTGAACTTCTTTTCTTCTTCATCGCTGTCATCCTCATCTGGTGGTTTCTTTGGCGGTGGTTCTGGCGGTTTGTTGTTGTCGAGCATTTTAGTAAAGGCTGACACCATCGCGTCGCGTTGGTTTTTCAGTGTTTGTGTTGCGTGTGTTCTTGTTGGTTCATTTCTCTTGTGTGTGTTGTGCCAAAAGTTTTTAAGCATTATTTTAAACATATTGTCTTGGTTTTCCTTTACCTTAAACGCTTCAAATGTCATATTTAATGGTTGATTTGCATCATTGTATAACTTTTCTTGAGTCTCTCTGGTTTCTGTGGCGATTGTATCTGTATTGGTTGCAATGTCAATAAATTCTCTCGGTATGCCCTTTTTCATCATTTTCGGTGGTTGTATTGTTGTTGGTGTGTTTGGTTTTGTTAGGTTATGTATTGTAAAACTGTCGTCATCATATTTATCATTGAATTTCTGCTTCTTTCTTTTCAGTATGTTTTTAGTTAATATTATCATTATAATTATTTATATATTATTTCTTTCCTTTACCTTTAAAACCTGCCTTGAGTTCTTCTATTCTACCTTTGCCTAAATTTACTATCCACCCGCCATTATCAATAGTGTCTAAAATCATATCTGTTAAATATTCTTTGTATGTTCTCGCCTTGCCTCTGCCTTTGTGTTTCAATTCTTCTTGTATTTCGCTTTCTTCTGGCACCTGAATTCCTCTTAAATAAAATTGAAATTTAATATCATTTACTGTTAAAT